TTTATCTAAAACTAGTCAATCTCTCACAAAGTGTGAGGTACTTCAAGAACTAAACATAAGTAAGCTAATCATATAAGAAGTGAACATAAAATAATTTATATTTTACGCTGAACACCACTGCAACATTTAAAGGGAACATAAAATAATATATAGTTTAGACTGAACATCATTGCAACATTTAGTGTCAAATAAATAACAAGTCCTATATGTGAATTTTTATTTGATAGTGTTTTTGTTCAGAATGCATAAAGATATGCTGTGCTATGCATAATCATTTTCCAGTGAATCTCTTTTGCAAAGAACCTGAAGATGAACAAGGAATCCTGAAGCGTGCAAATATTTTCTCTGGCCCTTTCAAAACAAAGCAAAGCCAATCACAGCATCATATGCCAGAAACCTAGCCTGTAGAAGATAAGATCTTCTAAGAGTATCTATAGCATCCTCAAACAACAAACCTAATGGCTCTCAGTTGAACCTAACTGCGTCTGAAGAGGAAGCAGTTGGGACATGACAGCTTCACATCAGTGGTTTGGGGCAGTAGCAAAAATGCTGGAATGGTATGCTTTGAAGAAGCTTGTCTGCTTTTTTAGCTCTATGCCACGCCACTGCCATTGCGATTTTTTTGACAGTTCCAGGGAAAACGCAAACAGAACTGACCTCTCCTCGGCAGCTCTATAACCGTGGGGCTCATGTGGGCAGATTGGCATCTGCAGGCACATCTTTAGCAAGTTGGCAGCCTTCGTGCCCTTTGCAGGTTGCAATCAAACCTGCCTTCTACAGAAGCCTCTTTCTGGTTGATTAACTTTAATGTAATTTTAATTAAAAACCACAGTGTCAAAGGGTTTAGCTACTCGAGAAATGAGCACAGACTGCGGCCCAGTGGCAGCAGTCACTTGGAAAATGGAAATGTGTCCTGACAATGTTGTGCGGGGGCCAGATAAACAGGGTCGCTGCAGCACTTTTCTCACATGCAGGAAACAGGCAAGGGAACATCAGAACCAAGAGACTGGCTTGTACATCAAGGGGTTCTAATGTACGAATTTCAGGTGCCATCAACATTTTTGAGAACTTGTTCAGTGCTGGCACCAAATACCCTCTACAATGGCTGGCTGTGACCATTCTGTCCTCCTCTTGGCACTTTGGTCATTAAATCGACACACAAATCTGGGTTAAATATGAATCAAATTTCAGACGGGAAAAAGGAGCCAAGCCTTACTGTATTAGTCAATTATAGAACTTCACTTTTTTCACTGTGTATACGTTTTGGGGACAGGGGATTTTAAATATCAGAAATAAGCTTTTCTTTCAAGGAAACACTTCCTCTGGGATATGATTCCTTGAGTCCTTTACAAATAGTGCCAAGGAACTAACTGAATGACTTCTTCCAAAAAGATTACTGCATTACTTGAATTGGAAGAGTATGAAGAAATAATTTTGCAACTATGCTTGGTCATAATAGGTTCAGAAAATACATTTTATTTACTAGGCCTCCTTATACAATATAAATAATTATTTATATTTTTACTTATAATTTATAATTATTTATATTGCATAAAGAGGTCTAATAAAATGTATTTTCTAAATAATTATATCGCATAAGAAGATCTAGTAAATAAAATGTATTTTTAATAATACAAATAATTACTTTTAAATTTCTGGTTACCCTGAAGATATTATCCTATTTAATATCTTTGAAATTCCCTCCTCTTTTAAAAAATTGTCAAGTTGATGTAAAATAATGTTCAGAATGAAAGACTGAAATATGGCCCTGTGTGGAAGAAGTATTTTATTAATGCCGATGGGATGAACGCCTCTATCCCATGCTGAAATGCCCTTTATTCTTTCTCAATGTAGCTAATTTTTCAGGGCACAACTCTCAGGAGAACACCTAGTGACGTCAATTCTTCAGAGGAGAATTTCCTCCACCAGGTTTGTGGGATGCTGAGGCTGCTTTGCTGACAGATGGGGCCGGTACAGGTGGGCCCAGAGCCATCTGAACAGAAGGGGCCCCTGGACCCTGACAGAGAGGATAGACAGAACGGTGGGGGAGAGTTTAGGGCAGCGGACAGGGAGGGGGGAGAGGAGGCATAGAGGATTTCTACACTGAATCCAGCAGAGAGGAAGAAAAGCAAAAACAAGCAGATGGGTGGACAGGGAGAGGTGATTTGAATTGTATAACTTGCTTAAGAGACTAATAAAAAAGCAATCTCTGGGGATAGGAGTTCACTGCAGGCAATTTTGGAAAACTGGAAACTTAATCTAAGATTGCCAAAGTAAAGAAGAGTACAATAAAAATAAATATGAAATAAAAGTATGAAAATGAATTGTATATGAGCTTACAGGATGAATCCTCTGCAGGCCCCTGTACATATCCAGGTAGAATAGAATCATTCTCTGGCTTTTTCTGGTGTTAAACAGCCATTATTATTGCTCTCCTCTCAGCTGCTTACTTTATTAAAAGATGAAATAGGATTTTGATTGCCACTTTAGCAGATGACATAACTGATTAAAATAGACTTAGATGTATTTATACCGTTCCTATGATGGCAATTAAAAAAGAGAAAGGAAGAAAATTATCAGAGTAGGATCTGAATATGTTAAACCAGAGTATCTCAAAGTATCTTCCCTAGAATATTACTTTTTCCAGATACTTATATGTGTGTTTTGGGAAAATGGTTCTGTGATGAAACAAATGTGAGGAGACCTGGGTTACAAGTCAAACACTTTTAAAATTTAATTTTTACTGTAGTACTTTTCAGGGCTTCCATGTATTCTCTTACATATACAGATTTTTTTTCTCTAATTTTGATTATGGAATGCTTTGAAAAGCATTTCTTGAGGGTAATTTACGTAGTGTATACAGTAGGACATACTTTCTTGAACCAGGTAAAGGAGATTCTCTGAATGATTTACAATGGACATGAGTCCCCATTTGCATTGCATTTCCGTTCAGGAATGGGCTGACATCGACCATTCAGAAGGAGTCATCTTAAACCTAATACCATAAATTAAAATGCTTAAAACACTCTGTTTACAAGTGTCCTAATCAGTGGTGTTATTTTTATCTGTTTTACAGTAGACATTTTAAATTAAAGAGTTAATATTTGGTTAGAAGTGATAATAAAAATATTTTATAAACATTGTTGCCTAAGCACTGGCTGAAATAGATTCAGGCCATATACACAGCTGTATTTGTGTGTTCCAGCTAAATGCCAAGTCTGCTTCTAAATTTTTCTTGGTCTTCATTTACAATGAACAACAAGCAGAACCTGAGCTCTATGAGAACAGAGACAGGTTTGGCTTTGCTCACTATTGTAACCCTAACCCTTATCATATAAGTGTTTGAACTCTTATAAGTCTTAGAACTAATAAATTAGTGCTAATAATATTTTGAACTCAACAAATATTATTAGAACAAATAAATTATACCTCTTGCTAATGTTGCACACTAGTTGTATCACATCAGAAAACGTAAGAGCTATTATCAAACAATATTGGAGATAACTTTACCAAACACCATCAGCTAAAATGGTCTTTTCTTTTGTAATTTTATTAAAAGTGATATTGAGTACCAGTTATATGCAAATCACTCTGCTCTGAACCCTGGAAAATGAAAAGATGAATATAAGAAGAAACAGACTCCTTGGGGAGCATATAATATGGTGGTGTGTGACTTTAATACAGGAGAATGAAACCAAATTAGTGGTGGGGATAGATGGTGTGGAAATTGGGCAGTATGGAGTGGATACAGAATTAGCCATGTTCAAGCTCAAGCTTCCAAGAGAAGAAAAGCCGCCATGCTTAGATTCATTTAATCCACATAATCAATGTTGGATTTACATTGTATGGGGACCACAGAGCTGGTTAGAAAAAGACGGGAAGGCATGTTTGATGTGGTAATTCAGTTACTTCATGTGACCACACAGTATTCAGGTCTTCAGAGATGGCCTCATTGGTTTAAAAGGAACTCAGCATTCCTCCTGCTGGATTGTAACAATAACCTCCTCAATTGCAGAACACATTTTCACATGCCTTTTTAAATCCATTATTGCACTCAATCTTTACAACAGCTCTGGGTGATAGTATGTTTACTCTAATTTTACAGACCAAGGAAATGGAGGCTCAGAGTAGACAAGGTCTTCATAGTTCTACAACTTATGGTTGAGCAGCTGATCTGGCTCTGAGTTCTCTGTCCTGAGACCTTTTCATCAGTATGATCACCTTGAAGACAGGTAGTTTTATCTTACCCAGAGTTTCCATTGTAGTACTGAACAAGTAAAGGTATCCAGTTAATATAAATCTAGATGAATCTTGTTTCCTTTATGCCCAGAGGTCATATTTGATCATACTTCATATGGCATAAGCACCTTACATTTTATTCCTCAAGCACCTTTCTATACTTAGTAAGTAGTAATTATATTTGTTTCCGTTATTGAACATCTCATTTTGTGCCGGGGCACTGCTATGTAGTTTTCATATTATCTGCCTATTTCCCACATGAATCTAAAATTTCCTGGAGTACATGATAGTATATGCTATTCATCTTTGAATTTTATGCAAATTGAGACTTCCGCTGAAGCAAAAGTTGTGCTCTACATTCCAAATGCTATAGGCCATTTCCCAAATATCTTATAAACTTTGTTCAGGACTATAAAGATGTCACCACACAAACATTAATTTGATCGCTATTCTTGTGAAAAATTTTAGATTCTTAAGCAGTTTAATTTTGTGCTTCTGAAATATCTGGGCTGTCAAACTCTGCTAGATTGTGAGTTTCATGAGGATAAAGCAATATTTACCTTTTCTATTCCCTTATCTCTAGCATCTTTTTTTCCCTGGAACATACCAGGTACTTAATAATTGTTAGGTGAATGACTAGGACTACTATTTTTCCTCTTAAGGAGAAATCTGGTTTTGCTGATGCTTGGGAAATAGCATATCAGTAAGTACTAATAATAAAGGTTTTGTTTTTTTGTTTTTTTGTTTTTTGTTTTTTTCAGATGAATCTGACTGTTAACCTGATATGTGCAAATGTTGAACAAAATACATCTGGAACTTCCCTGACGCTCAATGAATCTAGAAAGTAGAAGTGAGAAGCTTAATTCTAGTTGATATTTGCCAGTAGAGCAGGTAGGCAAATCAGATTTGGGAAGAATATCATTATGTCTGTAATATTTGTGGTTTATAATTTTGAAGTCTTGTTATTATATACTCATCAACTTTCTATGTACTGAGGAATTTTGATAACAGGGACTAAGCATGAACTACATGCATTGGGCCAACAATCCTGTGGTAGATGATTTTGTATCCATGATTTAATTTAGTTGGCATAGCACATGTATTATTAGTCATTTGACTAATATTACTCTAAAACTAAGGCTTAGAGAGGCAACTACCTGGCTTAAGTTCAATCCACTAAATGTTAGAATCTGCTTGGCTTACTCCTACTGACAAAACAGTTGGGTGTAATACCAAAGGCAGACAACTTAACAGAAAGGTCATGGAAAGAAACACTCAAAGAGAGCCCTGCTAAAGTCGGCCATCCTAGGTTGTCTGTGTACATACTCAAGACTACACCCTTGAGAAATTACAACAGAGGCTACATTTCAGAGGAAAAATCTCACTAAAATAGGTTGGTGAAGTCACAAAAAACAAACAACAACAACAACAAAAACAACCCAACAACAACAAAAACAAGTTCTGGATACCAAGAAGTGAATTGGTATCCAGAGTTGCTATAACAGATTTCCAGTTTTCAACAACAATTAACTAAATCACAAGACATGCAGAGAAATAGGAAATTGTGACTCACATATGGGAAAAATGAGGGCAACAATAACTGACTGTAAGAGAACCCAAATATCAGATTTAACAAAGACTTTAAAAGAGCCATTTCAAATATATTCAAAGAACTAAAAGAAAATATATCTAAAGAAGTGAAAGAAGATATGATGACAACATATCATCAAATAGAGAACATAAAAAAGAGATAATTTAGAAAAAGAACCAAGTGGTAATTCTGGAGTTGAAAAGCATAATAACCAAAATAAAAAATTCACTAAAGGGTTTCAGCAGCAGTTTTGAACTGAAAGACAAAAAGAATCTGTGAATTTGAAGATCCATTGATAGAGATTATAAAATCTGAAGAGCAGAAAGAAAAAAAAATAAGAAAAATGAATAAAGCCTCAGAGAAATGTGTAATACCATTAAGAGCATTAACATATGATAATAGGAGTATCAGAAGAAGAGTTAATTTTAAAGAACAGAAAAAATATTTGAAGAAATAATGACTGGAACCTTCCAAATTGGCTGAAAATATTAATGTACACATCCAAGAAGCACCATGAACTCCAAGTAAGACAAGCACAAATAAATTTACATCTAGATACATCATAGAAAGAAATGCTGAAAGACAAAAACAGAGAAAATCCTGAAAGTATCAAAGAGAAAAATGACTTAACACATACCACAGAATTCCAATAATATATACAGCTGACTTCTCATAAAAAACAATGAGAGTCAGAAGGCAGTGAGACAATAAACAGTTGACCCTTTTTTAAAAACATATCTATTTTATTGCATTTTAGGTTTTGGGGTACATGTGAAGAACATGAAAGATTGTTGCATAGGTACACACATGGCAGTGTGGTTTGCTGCTTTCCTCATCACCTATAACTGGCATTTCTCCGCATGTTATCCCTCCCCAATTCCCCACCACCCACTCTCCCTTCCCTAGTTCCCTCCCACAGACCCCAGTGCATGATGCTCCCCTCCCTGTGTCCATGTGTTCTCATTGTTCAACACCCACCTATGAGTGTCATTTTGCTGAGAATGATGGTTTCCAGGTTCATCCACGTCCCTACAAAGGACACGAACTCATCGTCTTTTATGGCTGCATAGTATTCCATGGTGTATATGTGCCACATTTTCCCTGTCCAGTCTATCATCGATGGGCATTTGGGTTGGTTCTAGGTCTTTGCTATTGTAAACAGTGCTGCAATGAACATACACATGCATATGTCTTTACAACAGAATGATTTATAATCCTTTGGGTATATACCCAGTGATGGAATTGCTGGGTCGAATGGAATTTCTATTTGTAGGTCCTTGAGGAATCGCCACACTGTCTTCCACAATGGTTGAATTAATTTACACTCCCACCAACAGTGTAAAAGTGTTCCTATTTATCTACGTCCTCTCTAGCATCTGTTGTCTCCAGATTCTTTAATGATCACTAGTCTAACTGGCGTGACATGGTATCTCAATGTGGTTTTGATTTGCATTTCTCTAATGACCAGTGATGGTGAGCATTTTTTCATGTGTTTGTTGGCCTCATATATGTCTTCTTTCCTAAAGTGTCTGTTCATATCCTTCACCCACTTTTGAATGGGCTTGTTTTTTTCTTGTAAATCTGTTTTAGTTTTTTGAAGATTCTGGATATTAGCTCTTTGTCAGATGGGTAGATTGCAAAAAATTTTCCCATTCTGCTGGTTGCTGATTCACTCTAATGACTGTTTCTTTTGCTGTGCAGAAGCTGTGGAGTTTGATTAGGTCTCATTTATCTATTTTGGCATTTGTTGCCAGTGCTTTTGGTGTTTTAGTCATGAAGTCCTTGCCTATGCCTATGTCCTCAATGGTTTTGCCTAGATTTTCCTCTAGGGTTTTTATGGTGTTAGGTCTTATGTTTATGTCTTTAATCCATCTGGAGTTAATTTTAGTGTAAGGGGTCAAGAAGGGGTCCAGTTTCTGCTTTCTGCACATGGCTAGCCAGTTTTCCCAACACCATTTATTAAATAGGGAATCCTTTCCCCATTGTTTATGTTTGTCTTATTTGTCAAAGATCCAATGGTTGTAGATGTGTGGTGTTGCCTCTGAGGCCTCTGTTCTGTTCTATTTGTCTATATCTCTGTTTTGGTACCAGTACCATGCTGTTTTGATTACTGTAGCCTTGTAGTATAGTTTGAAGTCAGGTAGTGTGATGTCTCCAGCTTTGTTCTTTTTGCTTAGAATTGACTTGGCTATGCAGGCTCTCTTTTGGAACAGTTGACCCTTGAACAACATTGAAGTTACGGAACACCAATCCCGTTTAGACAAAAATTCTCATATAATTTTGACTTTCTAAAACTTAACTACTAATAGCCTACTGTTGACCAAAAACCATACTGATAACATAAACAGCCAGTTAACAAGTATTTTCGATGGTATATGTATTATATACTCTATTCCCACATTAAAGTAAGGTAGAGAAAACATGTTATAAGAAAAATCATAACAAAGAGCCAGGTGTGGTGCCTCTTGCCTGTAATCCCAGCACTTTGGGAGACCAAAGTGGGCAGATCACCTGAAATCAGGAATTTGAGACCAGCCTGGCCAACATGGTAAAACCCTGTCTCTGCTACAAATACAAAAATTAGCCACATGTAGTGGTACATACGTTTGGCCCCAGCTACCCAGGAGGCTAAGGCAGAAGAATCACTTGAACCCAGAAGGCAGAGGTTGCAGTGACCTAAGATTGTGCCACTGCACTCCTGCCTGGGTGACAGAGTGAGACTCTGTTTTAAACAAACAAACCAAAAAGAAAAGAAAATCATAAGAAAAATAAAATATATTTACTATTTATTAAGTGGATATAGGTCATCATAAAGGTCTTCATTCTCATTGCTTCACATTGCATAGGCTGAGAAGGAGTAGGAAGAGGTCTTGATATCTCAGGGTTGGCAGAGGCAGAATAAAACCCATGTATAAGTGGACAAATGTGACAAGCACATGTTATTCAGAGGTCAATTGTATCAAAATTGCTGAAAGGAAAAAAAAATCCCAAAAGCGTATCAACCAAGAGACTTATAGTCAGTAAAACTATCTTTCAGAAACAAAGGTGAAATAAAAACATTACCAGACAGACAAAAAACTGATAGAATTTATTGCTAGCTAACATACTTTACAAAAAAATACTATAAGAAGTTTTCAGGCTGAAAGTATATAATACCAGAGAAATTTGAATCCATTGTTGAAAAGCACTGATAGGACACTATTAAAAGACAGCATAAATGTATATTTTTATTATTTCAATGTCTTCAGTGATTTAGAAAGCAATTTAATGAAACTAATTAAACTGTTGGACCTAAACATAAAAATATAATAGATTTGACAGTTAACATTACAAAGTAGGTGAATGATAATAAAGCTGTATTGGAGTAAATAAATGACTCCAGATGGTAACCTGAATCCACAGGAACAAATTAAAAGAAAAAGAAACATTTCAAAAGAAGGTTGGTATAACAATCTATAAACATTTATTTGTTCTTTCTTTCCTCAGCTTCTTAGATATAAAGTTATATAAAGTAATAATTATTGTATTGTTGGGTTTGTAACATATATGGATATAATATGTATATATAACAATAATAGTACAGAAAAAGGGAAAGAGAATGGAACTCTATGGGAGTAACATTTCTATATCTCTCTGGAATCAAGACAATGTATATCTGAAGCAGATTGTAAGATGTATATATTAAGCTCAAGAACATCCCCTAAGAAAATAAGTTAAAATAAGTAAAAATAAATAAGTTAAAAATAAAATAAGTTAAAAAGAACATTATAGGAATTAAAATGTCACAATAGAAAATATTCATTCAATGCAAAACACAACAGTAAAAGAGGAACAGAGGAAAAAGCCAGAAGACATATAGAAACCAAAAAGCAAAATGGCTGGTATAAATCCAACTATATCAAAAGAAACCATTAAATGTGAATAGATTGAACAACCCAATCAAAAGGCAGAAATAAAATTGTTATAAAAACTTGATCCAATTAAATGTCTTCAATAGGAGATGAAATTTAGATACAAAGACACAAATAGTTGAAAGTAAAAGGGTAGAAAAAGATTGATCATGCATACAGCAACCACATGAAAGCTTGTGTAGTATAACAAAATTTTTTTAAAGGCTTAAAATGCTACGACAAAGAAGAACCTTTTACAATAATTAAGAGGCAATCCATCAAGGAGATATAGTAATCATAATAATAAACATTCAGAGTCATAAACAACAACACCTTACACGAAGCAATCTTTGACAAAATTTAAAATAGAAATGTACAATTCAACAATAATAGTTGAAAACTTGAACACT